CGCGTCACCTCGCGACCTGTTAAACAATTACTCACACAATTGTACACTGGACCAAAAATATTGTGGCGGCGCTGGAGGCTATTGTGACAATGGCCAGACATATTGTGATATGACAACTGTAACTGGTTATTGTCGTTCTGTAACTGGATATTGTCGTTCTGTAGCTGGATACTGTCGTTCTGTAACTGGATATTGTCGTTCTGTAACTGGATATTGTCGTTCTGTAGCTGGATATTGTCGTTCTGTAACTGGTTATTGTCGTCCTGTGACTGGTTATTGTCGTTCTGTAACTGGATATTGTCGTTCTGTGACTGGATATTGTCGTTCTGTAACTGGATATTGTCGTTCTGTAACTGTTATTGTCGTCCTGTAACTGGTTATTGTCGTTCTGTAACTGGATATTGTCGTTCTGTAACTGGTTATTGTCGTCCTGTAACTGGTTATTGTCGTTCTGTAACTAGTTATTGTCGTCCTGTAACTGGATATTGTCGTTCTGTAACTGGTTATTGTCGTTCTGTAACTGGTTATTGTCGTCCTGTAACTGTTATTGTCGTCCTGTAACTGGTTATTGTCGTCCTGTAACTGGATATTGTCGTCCTGTAACTGTTATTGTCGTCCTGTAACTGGTTATTGTCGTTCTGTAACTGGATATTGTCGTTCTGTAACTGGTTATTGTCGTCCTGTAACTGGTTATTGTCGTTCTGTAACTAGTTATTGTCGTCCTGTAACTGGATATTGTCGTCCTGTAACTGGTTATTGTCGTCCTGTAACTGTTATTGTCGTCCTGTAACTGTTATTGTCGTCCTGTAACTGTTATTGTCGCCCTATAACTGTTATTGTCGCCCTGTAACTGTTATTGTCGCCCTGTAACTGTTATTGTCGCCCTGTAACTGGTTATTGTCGTCCTGTAACTGTTATTGTCGCCCTGTAACTGTTATTGTCGCCCTGTAACTGTTATTGTCGCCCTGTAACTGGTTATTGTCGTCCTGTAACTGTTATTGTCGCCCTGTAACTGTTATTGTCGTCCTGTAACTGGTTATTGTCGTCCTGTAACTGTTATTGTCGCCCTGTAACTGGTTACAGGACTTTCACTGCTGCACAATGACAGCCCCTTTCAAAGCTGGAGAAATTGCTGACCTGGAGAGCGTGCAGAGATCCTTTACTGCTAGAATCCACTCAGTAAAACATCTAAACTATTGGGACCGACTAAAGAGCCTAAATCTATACTCCCTTGAGCGCAGGCGGGAGAGGTACATAATAATTTACACGTGGAAAATAATTGAGGGGCTGGTCCCAAACCTGCACACAGAAATAACATCACATGAGACCAGAAGACATGGCAGGATATGCAGAATACCCCCGTTGAAGAGCAGAGGTTCAACAGGTACTCTGAGAGAGAACTCTATCAACATCAGAGGCCCGAGACTGTTCAACACGCTTCCACTACACATAAGGGGCATAACTGGCCGACTCCTCACAGTGTTCAAGAGAGAACTATCAACATCAGAGGCCCGAGACTGTTCAACACGCTTCCACTACACATAAGGGACATAACAGGCCGACCCCTCACAGTGTTCAAGAGAGAACTATCAACATCAGAGGCCCGAGACTGTTCAACATGCTTTCACTACACATAAGGGGCATAACTGGCCGATCCCTCACAGTGTTCAAGAGAGAACTATCAACATCAGAGGCCCGAGACTGTTCAACACGCTTCCACTACACATAAGGGACATAACAGGCCGACTCCTCACAGTGTTCAAGAGAGAACTATCAACATCAGAGGCCCGAGACTGTTCAACACGCTTCCACTACACATAAGGGACATAACTGGCCGATCCCTCACAGTGTTCAAGAGAGAACTATCAACATCAGAGGCCCGAGACTGTTCAACACGCTTCCACTACACATAAGGGACATAACTGGCCGACCCCTCACAGCGTTAAAGAGAGAACTATCAACATCAGAGGCCCGAGACTGTTCAACACGCTTCCACTACACATAAGGGACATAACTGGCCGATCCCTCACAGTGTTCAAGAGAGAACTATCAACATCAGAGGCCCGAGACTGTTCAACACGCTTCCACTACACATAAGGGACATAACTGGCCGATCCCTCACAGTGTTCAAGAGAGAACTATCAACATCAGAGGCCCGAGACTGTTCAACACGCTTCCACTACACATAAGGGACATAACTGGCCGACCCCTCACAGTGTTCAAGAGAGAACTATCAACATCAGAGGCCCGAGACTGTTCAACACGCTTCCACTACACATAAGGGACATAACTGGCCGACCCCTCACAGTGTTCAAGAGAGAACTATCAACATCAGAGGTCCGAGACTGTTCAACACGCTTCCACTACACATAAGGGACATAACTGGCCGACCCCTCACAGTGTTCAAGAGAAAACTTGACAAATACCCCCAAAGGATACCTGATCAACCAGGCTGTGACTCATACGTCAGGCTGCGAGCAGCCGCGTCCAACAGCCTGGTTGACCAGTCCAGCAACCAGGAGGCCTGATCGACGACCGGGCCGCGAGGACATTAAGCCCCGGAAGCACCTCAAGGTAACCGCAAGGTAAGGCCATTTTAGTCATATAAATGGTGATTTTAGTCTATAAATGGCCATTTAATTCCCATTTAAGACCAATTTATTCCTGTTAAAGGCTATTTTATTCCTATTAGAGGCTATTTTATTCCTATTAGAGGCCATTTTATTCCTATTAGAGGCCATTTTATTCCTATTAGAGGCCATTTTATTCCTATTAGAGGCTATTTTATTCCTATTAGAGGCTATTTTATTCCTATTAGAGGCCATTTTATTCCTATTAGAGGCCATTTTATTCCTATTAGAGGCCATTTTATTCCTATTAGAGGCTATTTTATTCCTATTAGAGGCCATTTTATTCCTATTAGAGGCCATTTTATTCCTATTAGAGGCCATTTTATTCCTATTAGAGGCCATTTTATTCCTACTAGAGGCCATTTTATTCCTATTAGAGGCCATTTTATTCCTATTAGAGGCCATTTTATTCCTACTAGAGGCCATTTTATTCCTACTAGAGGCCATTTTATTCCTATTAGAGGCTATTTTATTCCAATTAGAGGCTATTTTATTCCTATTAGAGGCCATTTTATTCCTATTAGAGGCCATTTTATTCCTATTAGAGGCCATTTTATTCCTATTAGAGGCCATTTTATTCCTATTAGAGGCCATTTTATTCCTATTAGAGGCTATTTTATTCCAATTAGAGGCCATTTTATTCCTATTAGAGGCCATTTTATTCCTATTAGAGGCCATTTTATTCCTATTAGAGGCCATTTTATTCCTATTAGAGGCCATTTTATTCCTATTAGAGGCCATTTTATTCCTATTAGAGGCCATTTTATTCCTATTAGAGGCTATTTTATTCCTATTAGAGGCCATTTTATTCCTATTAGAGGCTATTTTATTCCAATTAGAGGCCATTTTATTCCTATTAGAGGCCATTTTATTCCTATTAGAGGCCATTTTATTCCTATTAGAGGCTATTTTATTCCTATTAGAGGCCATTTTATTCCTACTAGAGGCTATTTTATTTCCACAACTGATCTAGTCCTAAAATCGGTAATTTTAGTCCAACAATTTATTTGAGTCTCATAACTGGTTATTTTAGTGCTATGACTGGCGATTAGGCTCCTATAACTGGTGATTTACCTCATATAATTGGTGATTAATCTCCTTTAATTGGTGATTGAGCTCTTATATCTGATGATTTATAGCCCTATAACTTGTGATTAAGCTCTTATAATTTGAATTAATCCCCCTATAACTGTGATTTAGCTTCTGTATTTGGCTATAAGCTCCTATAACTGGCGGTTAATATCCTATAACTGGGGATTTAGTTTCTATAATTGGTGATTAAGCGCCTATAATATATGATTAAGCTCCTATAATATATGTGATTAAGCTCCTATAATATATGATTAAGCTCCTATAATATATGATTAAGCTCCTATAATATATGATTAAACTCCTATAATATATGATTAAGCTCCTATAATATATGATTAAACTCCTATAATATATGATTAAGCGCCTATAACTGGTGATTTTAATCCTGTAAATGACAATTCAGCTCTAATAATTGGTGGTTAATCTCCACAAAAAGGTGATAAGCTTCTATAATCGGTGATTAATCTCCATTAACTGGCGATTAAGCTCATGTAACTGGAGATTAAGTTCCTATAATTGGTGATTAATCTCCTTTAACTGGTGATTAAGATCATGTAACTTGAGATTAAGTTCCTATAATTGGCGATTTAGCTCCAATAACCGGTTATTTGTATCACGTAAATTGTGTTACACTAAGCTGGTGTAATTGGTCATTAAGCTGGTGTAATTGGTCATTAAGCTGGTGTAATTGGTCACTAAACTGGTGTAATTGGTCATTAAACTGGAGTAATTGGTCACTAAACTGGTGTAATTGGTCACTAAACTGGTGTAATTGGTCACTAAACTGGTGTAATTGGTCACTAAACTGGTGTAATTGGTCATTAAACTGGTGTAATTGGTCACTAAACTGGTGTAATTGGTCACTAAACTGGAGTAATTGGTCACTAAACTGGTGTAATTGGTCATTAAACTGGTGTAATTGGTCACTAAACTGGTGTAATTGGTCACTAAACTGGTGTAATTGGTCACTAAACTGGTGTAATTGGTCACTAAACTGGTGTAATTGGTCATTAAACTGGTGTAATTGGTCACTAAGCTGGAGTAACTAGTGGCAACAAAACACAGTTCACTCAAGTCTCCACTAAGCAAAACTTGAAACTTGTGTTTCAAAGCGTATTTTACAAAGTGATCAATATATGTGATACAACTCAAACACAAGCCAGTCACATGTATTGACTCCATATATACATGTATATAGTTCAGCAGCATGACACGGGTATGTATAATACTAACTATACTTTCTCATGTATACTTAAAATATATTAGCGGATCAGAAACCTTAATTTTCAACATTATATATTTTCTAAGAGGTCGAGATGGATTTTATATATAACATCAAGCCATTTCCAGAGCAATATATGTGACAAATAATGTTCTAGATTATTATGTTAATAATTGTTCTAGATTATGTTAATAGTTGTTCTAGATTATCGTGTTATTTGAGTATTTCAAAGCACTTGAGATGCTTTCGCGAGCGCGGGAAAGTTTACAGCGCGGGAGGGAGGCCAAGAGAGCAGCGCCTCTCCACGTAGCACCATTCCCCTCCACAGCACAAGACACACTGAGGCACCACACCTCCTCCACCCTCAAGGCCCTCCAGCGGCTCAGGAACCTGCGCGCGCACCTCTCATGCTAGATCCAATCGCCATTTAATTGCAATTTTAATGTGAAAATTATATATTAATGGACTTTAACAAGAGACGGTCATGTAGCGCAAGTAGTTAAGCATTGTATTGCATATTCTGTGGCTGAGTCCGTGGCTTCAACACGAGTGTGTGAAGAATAATAGAGATTTGTTGATGAATTTGATGATCTGAATGACTGGTTGAAAGATGTGAATGAAATCGAGACACAGGAATTCGTTGAATGTATATTAGTAAGGTTTTGTGGTGGTCTTAATAACCCTCCAAAGGCTGATAGGTCTTAATAACCATCCAGAGGCTGATAGGTCTTAATAACCCTCCAGAGGCTGATAGGTCTTAATAACCCTCCAGAGGTTGATAGGTCTTAATAACCCTCCAGAGGCTGATAGGTCTTAATAACCCTCCAGAGGTTGATAGGTCTTAATAACCCTCCAGAGGCTGATAGGTCTTAATAACTCTCCAGAGGCTGATAGGTCTTAATAACCCTCCAGAGGCTGATAGGTCTTAATAACCCTCCAGAGGCTGATAGGTCTTAATAACTCTCCAGAGGTTGATAGGTCTTAATAACTCTCCAGAGGTTGATAGGTCTTAATAGCTCTCCAGAGGTTGATAGGTCTTAATAACCCTCAAGAGGTTGATAGGTCTTAATAACCCTCCAGAGGCTGATAGGTCTTAATAACCCTCCAGAGGCTGATAGGTCTTAATAACCCTCCAGAGGTTGATAGGTCTTAAGTCCAACACCAAACTTGTTGGTTGGTCAGTAAGGTATTGTGGTGGTCTTAATAACCCTCCAGAGGTTGATAGGTCTTAAGTCCAACACCAAACTTGCTGGTTGGTCAGTAAGGTATTGTGGTCTTAATAACCCTCCAGAGGTTGATAGGTCTTAATAACCCTCCAGAGGTTGATAGGACTTAATAACTCTCCAGAGGTTGATAGGTCTTAATAACCCTCCAGAGGTTGATAGGTCTTAAGTCCAACACCAAACTTGCTGGTTGGTCAGTAAGGTATTGTGGTGGTCTTAATAACCCTCCAGAGGTTGATAGGTCTTAAGTCCAACACCAAACTTGCTGGTTGGTCAGTAAGGTATTGTGGTCTTAATAACTCTCCAGAGGTTGATAGGTCTTAAGAGGTTGGTGATATTGTGGTCTTAATAACTCTCCAGAGGTTGATAGGTCTTAAGTCCAACACCAAACTTGCTGGTTGGTCAGTAAGGTATTGTGGTGGTCTTAATAACCCTCCAGAGGTTGATAGGTCTTAATAACCCTCTAGAGGCTGATAGGTCCTAATAACCCTCCAGAGGCTGATAGGTCTTAATAACTCTCCAGAGGCCGATAGGTCTTAATAACCCTCCAGAGGCTGATAGGTCTTAATAACTCTCCAGAGGTTGATAGGTCTTAATAACCCTCCAGAGGTTGATAGGTCTTAATAATCCTCCAGAGGCTGATAGGTCTTAATAACTCTCCAGAGGTTGATAGGTCTTAATAACCCTCCAGAGGCTGATAGGTCTTAATAACTCTCCAGAGGCTGATAGGTCTTAATAACTCTCCAGAGGCTGATAGGTCTTAATAACCCTCCAGAGGCTGATAGGTCTTAATAACCCTCCAGAGGCCGACTTAATAACCCTCCAGAGGCTGATAGGTCTTAATAACTCTCCAGAGGTTGACTTAATAACCCTCCAGAGGCTGATAGGTCTTAATAACCCTCCAGAGGCTGATAGGTCTTAATAACCCTCCAGAGGCTGATAGGTCTTAATAACCCTCCAGAGGCTGATAGGTCTTAATAATCCAGAGGCTGATAGGTCTTAATAACCCTCCAGAGGCTGATAGGTCTTAATAACCCTCCAGAGGCTGATAGGTCTTAATAACTCTCCAGAGGCTGATAGGTCTTAATAACTCTCCAGAGGCTGATAGGTCTTAATAACACTCCAGAGGTTGATAGGTCTTAATAACCCTACAGAGGTTGATAGGTCTTAATAACCCTACAGAGGTTGATAGGTTTTAATAACCCTCCAGAGGTTGATAGGACTTAATAACTCTCCAGAGGTTGATAGGTCTTAATAACCCTCCAGAGGTTGATAGGTCTTAAGTCCAACACCAAACTTGCTTGTTGGTCAGTAAGGTATTGTGGTGGTCTTAATAATCCTCCAGAGGTTGATAGGTCTTAAGTCCAACACCAAACTTGCTGGTTGGTCAGTAAGGTATTGTGGTGGTCTTAATAACCCTCCAGAGGTTGATAGGTCTTAAGTCCAACACCAAACTTGCTGGTTGGTCAGTAAGGTATTGTGGTGGTCTTAATAACCCCTCCAGAGCTTGATAGGTCTTAAGTCCAACACCAAACTTGCTGGTTGGTCAGTAAGGTATTGTGGTGGTCTTAATAATCCTCCAGAGGTTGATAGGTCTTAAGTATTGTGGTGGTCTTAATAACCCTCCAGAGGTTGATAGGTCTTAATAACCCTCCAGAGGTTGATAGGTCTTAAGTCCAACACCAAACTTGCTTGTTGGTCAGTAAGGTATTGTTGTGGTCTTAATAATCCTCCAGAGGTTGATAGGTCTTAAGTCCAACACCAAACTTGCTGGTTGGTCAGTAAGGTATTGTGGTGGTCTTAATAACCCTCCAGAGGTTGATAGGTCTTAATAACCCTCCAGAGGTTGATAGGTCTTAAGTCCAACACCAAACTTGCTGGTTGGTCAGTAAGGTATTGTGGTGGTCTTAATAACCCTCCAGAGGTTGATAGGTCTTAATAACCCTCCAGAGGTTGATAGGTCTTAAGTCCAACACCAAACTTGCTGGTTGGTCAGTAAGGTATTGTGGTGGTCTTAATAACCCTCCAGAGGTTGATAGGTTTTAAGTCCAACACCAAACTTGCTGGTTGGTCAGTAAGATATTGTGGTGGTCTTAATAACCCTGCAGAGGTTGATAGGTCTTAAGTCCAACACCAAACTTGCTGGTTGGTCAGTAAGATATTGTGGTGGTCTTAATAACCCTCCAGAGGTTGATAGGTCTTAAGTCCAACACCAAACTTGCTGGTTGGTCAGTAAGGTATTGTGGTGGTCTTAATAACCCTCCAGAGGTTGATAGGTCTTAAGTCCAACACCAAACTTGCTGGTTGGTCAGTAAGGTATTGTGGTCTTAATAACCCTCCAGAGGTTGATAGGTCTTAAGTCCAACACCAAACTTGCTGGTTGGTCAGTAAGGTATTGTGGTGGTCTTAATAACCCTCCAGAGGTTGATAGGTCTTAAGTCCAACACCAAACTTGCTGGTTGGTCAGTAAGGTATTGTGGTGGTCTTAATAACCCTCCAGAGGTTGATAGGTCTTAAGTCCAACACCAAACTTGCTGGTTGGTCAGTAAGGTATTGTGGTGGTCTTAATAACCCTCCAGAGGTTGATAGGTCTTAAGTCCAACACCAAACTTGCTATACAATAAGGATGGCAGTCGTAGACTATTACATAAAGCTACGAGAACAAGATAACAGTAAATCTACGATAACAAGATAACACAGTAAAGCTACGAGAACAAGATAGCACAGTAAAGCTACGAGAACAAGATAACACAATAAAGCTACGAGAACAAGATAACACAGTAAAGCTACGAGAACAAGATAGCACAGTAAAGCTACGATAACAAGATAACACAGTAAAGCTACGAGAACAAGATAGCACAGTAAAGCTACGAGAACAAGATAACACAGTAAAGCTACGAGAACAAGATAGCACAGTAAAGCTACGAGAACAAGATAACAGTAAAGCTACGAGAACAAGATAACACAGTAAAGTTACGAGAACAAGATAACAGTAAAGCTACGAGAACAAGATAACACAGTAAAGCTACGAGAACAAGATAGCACAGTAAAGCTACGAGAACAAGATAACACAGTAAAGCTACGAGAACAAGATAACACAGTAAAGCTACGATAACAAGATAACACAGTAAAGCTACGATAACAAGATAGCACAGTAAAGCTACGATAACAAGATAACACAATAAAGCTACGAGAACAGTTTAATGTCTCACAAACTTCAAAATAAATCACAAGATGATATAGAACTTGAGTAAGTAATTAACGAAGCAGATACAACAATTCAATAACAATACAGAAATGAAATAAAGATAAGATAAAACTTAATATATAAGTAACATAAAAAACATATCTTATTACGAGGGGGGGGGGGAATGTGAGTGAAATTGATTACCTGGTATAAAGTAAATATTATTTAGTATCTCTTTTGAACTACTTGGGAGCCGTAGAGGTTTAAATTACATCAGGGAGATCATTCCCCTGTCTGATTTGCATGGCAGGTCTGCCTTGGTTGAGTCTCTCCTGGAATATCAAAGAAAATGTTGGTTTCTCGCAAGGGTGACTTGTGAGTTCTATTGCAACCCTTCTAGGAAACGCTAATAAGGGAAGAGAGTCAGTTTCAGGGTGATGTACTCGAACATAGATGGGATCACAAGCAAGACAAGTGAACTAAGGGAAAGAGCACAAGAAGTTAACCCAGATGTAATCGGACTCACTGAAACAAAACTCTCTGGAATCATAACGAATGCCGTGTTTCCCCAGGAGTATACAGTAATAAGGAAAGAGAGGGAAGGTAGGGGAGGAGGCGGAGTGGCCCTACTCATGAGAAGGGAATGGAGTTTTAAGGAGATGGCCATCCCGGGCTGTGAGGAGTTCAGAGACTACATAGCAGGCACCATAACAATGGGAGGACCAAGAATAGTAGTAGCAGTAATATACAACCCTCCACCAAATGACAGGAGACCCAGTCAAGAGTATGAAAACAACAACAAGGCAGTTAACACTATAATTGAGAGGGCAGCCTCTGCTGCCTGTAGAAATAGATCCCACCTGCTCATCATGGGCGACTTCAATCACGGAAAGATTGACTGGGAGAACAAGGAACCGCATGGA